TCTTATTTTCAATTTGCGCATTTTTTCTGTATATATTTTTTTCGCACGGCTGTCCGAGGGGCCCAATTTCTTAAACCAGTGATTTCTTAAGCCGTGCTTTTGCTGTACCTGATTGGCCGAACTCTAGATCTTTTAAATCTGGCAAGACCGAGAACTGGATTAAGGAGGGATCCATGATGCGTTCAGGGTTCAGGGTGGTTGAGTGTTTATGGTCCTTGTACTTGTACAATACATATACTTTGGCCCTATTGTAGCTATATGATCATAAAGCGACCGCAGGCATGCAATATAATGGTATACACGGACCGTTCATGGCTACTATAGAGGCCTAAGTAAATACCAATACTATTTGGGGGGGGTCCTTATAATTATTATAGCATAAAAACTCCAGAACACTATTCTAATTAATAAGGTCCCTACACTAGGTAGATCCCATGCAACTGCAAGCCTAGACCCTGAACTTGAGCTCCTGCCCCGAAGAAACATTTCTGTCATCCCTTCGTCTTTGGGGGTTTAGGGGTCCAAGTACCTACTTATCCTATTCTCTGAAATTTAGTAACCTGCAGAACTACTATCCCAAACCTGAGTGCCTTATTACCCTTCTGGACCTTAAGCCTTAAACCCTAAACCGTTACACCAAAGAAGCCTGCAGAATCTGGGGCGATGTTTTCAGGCCTCTCACATCACCACGTTGCAATGAAACTCTTGTAAAGACCTATAAGCCCCAAAAAGAAAACCCCAAAGCTCTAATTCCTAATCCCTAATCCCTATGCGCCTCAGAGGCAAACCCTATGCTCTAAACCCGAAGCCCTACTCTCTCAAAGCCCCCGGAAATTATGCAGTCAGGAAAAGTGGACCATGCTGCAGCGTCCCTCAACCGAAGCTGCTGACTTCCTTGGGGCGAAGGCTCCAGCTTCTTCCCGGAGTCACCAAATGTGTCTAGGATTGAGGGCTTAGGGGTTTGGGTTTAGGGTTTAGGGTTCAGGGTTTAGGGTTCAGGGTTTAGGGTTTGGGGCTTGGGGTTTGGGGCCTTAAGGGTTTAGGTATGCGTTCAGGGCTTTAGTGTAGTCGTTGAGGTTTTAGGGTTTTAGGGTTTCGGGGGCTCACAAAAAGAATCCACCTATGATATGAAGGATTTTGGACAAATGCTATAAAGCAAAGTATGTTCCGTTAATGTCACTATCAGCAGTATAGTAGTAGTAGTAGTAGTAGTAGTAGTAGTAGTAGGAGTAGCGGTAGCAGTAGCAGTAGCAGTAGCAGCAGTAGTAGGTGAAGACAGGGTCTTCCAGTTGGCTCGAGTTGTCCTACGGCGGCTCTGTTAGAAAGGTTTTAAGAGTTCTTATACTTCATTCCTCAGGTGCTCGCGATGAGTCACATCTATTTGAGAAGCCGAGCTTCAAGGTTTCTCTTATTCCTCGGGCTGAAAGGCGTACAACTCTGAGTTGTTTCGTTTAAACTTGAGGGGACAGGAGAGGGCTGGTGACTCGTCGTAGTCGTAGCAGTAGCGGCAACAGTAGCAGTGGGAGAAATAGTGGTAGACGCCGTCGTCGTAGTAGCAGCAGCGGTGGTGGTGGTGGTGGGTGCAGCAGTAAGTAGCGTCACAACTGTGGGTTTCAGTCGGTAGGGATTCTCGGCGTCAGGTCTTGGATGTGTGAAGCAGCAGCAGGAGGAGGAGGAGGAGGAGGAGGGGGAGGAGGAGCGGCGGTAGCAGCAAGTAGTAGTCGTCGTCCTAGTGGTAGTGGTGGTGGTGGTGGTGGTGGTAGTGGTAGTGGTAGTGGTAGTGGTAGTAGTAGAAGTACAGTAGTAGTAGTTGTTGTGGTAAGTAGCAGGGCAGCTGCAGCAAATGCAAATGCAGATGTGACAGCAGCAGTAGTACGACGAAATCCGGAGGAAGAGACACGTTCAGCCGGGCATGCACGCAATAAATATCTGTTTTTGAACGGGAAGTAAACACATGAACAAGTAAGCGCATGAGCGCTGTTGGGAGTACATCAGCAGCAGTACATGCTGAATGCGTGTCCTGCCTTGGCACGTTCCTCACGATTCGCTTTGCCATCTTCCATTTTCGCCTGGACGAAGCATTCTTCCAGCGTAAAGACCCTGATGCTCGGACTCAGATTAATTCAAGCTCGAATGCTGTCGACTGGGGCTTCCTCTGAGGCGGCGGGATAGGATTTGACCGAAGCTGCCTGTATGACTAACTATGCTGCATACTAGTTATGCTTCACGAAGCAGAGACAGACAGTCGAAATGACCTGAAACAAGGCAAAGAGTTACATGGGCTCAGTCCCATAGCCGTGGCCTCGACATTGACGCGGATTCGAGAGCCGGGCAGCGCGGGATCCATGCTTGTGACAGCAACTTCCTCGGCTTCTTTCAAACTTCAGTGTATCTATAGTCGCATGTAGAGCTGCATTGACATCATACGCCCGATGTGACAACACTGGTGCACCATTTTTTTTCCACCCGCCAGCTGGAACCACTGCTCCCATGTCACATGGACTCATTCAGCTTGCACATGTTGCAGCTGAGCCATGCTGGCCGACAATGGTGTTCGACTAGTTGTTCCATCCTTGCAAGCCGTTTCTGCCGAGAATCGTGGCTGGACTTTGTGTCCGGGTCAACCGCAACGATGCATGTGCCCACCTTGACATGGGTTGATTCTCATTGTTCGTAAAGACGCTGCTACGTCTGTCGCTAATTTGTGCCCGGACGCATGCTGGTAGATGTCCACTTTGGCATTTCGCCGGCGCTCGAGTTGTGGAAAGTGATAGCAGCGATGAGGTTCGTACCTGAAAGACATTCACAGTGTTGGAGTATTGGACCATCTTCTGACGGCCTGACCGGCTTACTGAATTTGTGCGTCCAAAGCCTTCGCCCAAACGCGAAGAGCTAGGTGGTAGGCCCTAAACTCAGACTCATGTCAGAAGCAATGAGTCTCGACTGGCTCTCCCTGCCTTCCCTGCTTCAGGACGTCGCCGACCCGAACGCCAATGAAACCTTGTGAGCTGCTTTAAGCTGTTTGACCCCAAGCTGTGGTATACCGAGAAACATTGCCCTAGATGTTCCTAGCTCGGATCTGTGTAAAGTGCATGGCATGCTATAGCCATGCTATGCGGCTTCCAGCTGGCGCCGGGTTTCCAAGTGCAGCCTGGCGGCAATTGTTCGGAAGGCTGAAGCCCTCCACCTGAGAGCATGGAGTGAGGAGTCGAAGGTTCAGGGCTTGCACCCTTCACGTTTGAAGGGTTCTCTAAGTTCGGATCTCCTTAGTCCTAGAGTACGCCACTGCACTCTTCTCATCAAGATTCCTGAGAAGGGGCCCCAATGTAGAGGATTACCCATACTTCAAGCTGTGGCGCAGCTTCAACCTTCAACTCCATCCCGGCACGGCGGCCTTCGCAAAAGGGATTGCAATGAACATGCCGCCCAGTCAAAAGGGTAGCAGCACGGGGTCTGCTCTCCACCACGACTGAGAGCTTACAGACTTCGGGCAAAAGGGCTCCTGCCGGCCTGGGCTTGGAGACACAGCGCAGCCCACCGCTTTGTTTGGGCCAAGTCTGTGGGCTGCGGTAGGGGGTTCGACGGAGCAGCCAAATCCATGACAGTAGCTGACGCTTCACCCAGGAAGGGGGTCCTTCGGATGTCCGAGTCCACGCCTACAAGCTGGCCACGATGCAATGCACAAGTAAATAAACAAATGCATACAAAGGCGTATATATATATATATATATGCATGTATATATATATATATATATATGTGTATATATATATATATATGTGTGTGTGTGTGTGTCTGTCTGCCTGCCTGCCTGCCTGCCTGCCTGCCTGCCTGCCTGCCTGCCTGCCTGCCTGTCTGTCTGTCTGCATGCATGCATGCATAACTCTATATCTACATTTATCTAACATCAAGATTATCTGTATATATTATATATACTGACTGTATTCGTATGTATATTTAGATTTCCGGAATCGCCCGCAATTACCCGGCAAGATCTCAAAGACAAAGGCAATGCTCCAGCTTCGACTGTCCAAGCCTTGTTGGCAGCATGCTCCGAGCAAGTCCGGGCCTAAACGAGCGACCAAATTCTGATCATCAAGGACCTTCTTCATGCTAGCAGCACGGCTACAGCAGCACGGCTACCTGTGGCATCCTTTACGGTATCATCCTGCTTTGAAAGGGGGTTGTTGGCAACGTGTCTCCAAAATCTTGCCGCCTGCCTGAGCCCTGACATACGTTCGGCCTGACTCCTGTTGCCTATTGGCTGAGCTTGCTGCATTTTCCACTGCAAAGGCGCCGTTGCCCAAGATGGCTACGTTGTTGCCTTCGGTGATTCGCAAACGAAGTTGCTGAGTTTGCAACAATGCATTGTTTGGGAGCAGGGAAGTGACTTGGAGGAGGCCGCTGGTGCGGAACCGATCGCAGAATCGGCAGGGTTGTTCAAGGGCCCCAATTGTATCAGAATGTGCACGCCGACCAGGACCATAAGAGGAATAATGACGAGTTTCCCAAAGTGCTACCTAGCAGTTGACCTCGCCCCATGACACATGTTAGGGCTGTCATCGAGCCTTGCCGCTGAAACTGATGCCGACAAACATAGCACATATATGGGTAACGATGCAACTCGGTCAAAGCAGGCAGTGCCGTTCTGCATCAATGTCAATAGCATCAGATGCCGTGAATGCTGGCAGTACAGCACATGCTGCACTGGCTGCCTTTCAGCTCTTCGTACGGACAGTCGTCGTTCATGCCGTATGCAACGGCGCCTTCCGTGTGGACAAGATCAGAAAAACCGGATGTCACAGCGGAGCATGGTGTAATGCAGAAAGCCCCGCACCACCGAACTCGTCTTCCCCAGGGTAATCGATAATTCGATTCCTGCCATCCAAACATGCACTGGATCAGCATTTATTTTGGTGTCTGCTTAGGTTAAGCCCCGGATCGGTGCCGCTCCTGGTCATGCAGCCGGGGTAGTTGAAGAGGCTTGATACGCTCACCTGCCCCGACGGATTGCATGAAAACCCGTGGCACAGCCTCGTCCATGGTTTGACTCGCTGTACGGCGAATGTGTTGGTTTCAACCTTATGGAACAGCTCCGACAAAAAGGTACTACTTAGACGTAGATGGTACTGTGTAAGGTTTTGGTCGGTGGCCATTGTGAAGATGTTCATCGTTTGTGCCGCCAACATACATCCGACTTGGGATCCAACACGTATGATGTCTTGCACTAGTACGATCCAAACGGCCCCTTCGCTAGTCGCGCGTCAGCCCTCCCTAGTCTAGGTTCCCAGTCGGGGCTCTTCCCAGTCCCCGATATCTCACTTCAAGAAGCCTTGCTGTGCTTGGCCAGAACGGGTGAAACATTCCAAAACATGCCTCAGAGAAGCTTGCTAATGCCGCTTCGACCTTGCAAAGTATGTGTGTATATATATATATACTGAATGTGTAAATATATATATATATATATATTTATTTATATTTATATAATTATGTATATATATATATATGTATTATATATATATATATGCACATGGAGTGCTGCAGAATGCAGGAATAGCCTCCGTGGAGTCTCCACCATCGACTGGTGCTACGGTCAGTCTGTAGTACCGATCGTGGTCCTCCCTCGGCTTCAGCCCACAACACTTGCAATATAATGGTTTTGTTGGAGGGATGCGCGCTAAACAAGCCGTTGACCCAGTAAGGCACCCGCTTCTCGCCGATGACGTCCATTTTGGCAACATTGGTCTTGAACCGGAAATTCGGGAGAACCTTTGTTCAACACTCTGTGCAGCCAGAACAAAACATCTACACCCCACTATGCCCTGGAGCACCCAATCAGCGAAAACGACTTACGGCTTCCTGCCATACCCTATACCATCCTGCTATTGTTAACTATATATATATATATATACATATGTGTGTAATATATAATAGATATATACATATATATATATATGCGTGTATATATATATATATGTATATGTATATGTATATGTATATACCTGTACACATACATGCATACATACATACGTACATACATGCATACATACATACATACATACATACATACATACATACATAC